ACCACAGGAGAGGGCAAATTCTTCAGCAGGATAGCCCTCCTTCTCATACTTCAGCCTCCATTTCAAAGTTCCTAAAAGCAAAAAAAAAGTCAAGGATTGGCCAGCCCAGTCCCTAGACATTATTGAGCATGTCTGGAGTAAGATGAAGGAGGAAGCATTAAAGATGAATCCAAAGAATCTTGATGAACTCTGAGAGTCCTGCAAGAACGCTATTTTTGCCATTCCAGATGACTCCAGGTAAGTTATTAAAGATTATTAATAACTTATTTAAGTCATTGCAGAGATGTATGGATGCAGTCCTCCAAGCTCATAGGAGTCTTACACAATATTTATTTTTTCCACTGCACCATGACTTTATATTCTATACTGTACTTTATTTCTTTTACGTGACAAGACCTTACTGTCCTAATCAAATAATTAAAAATCATTTTATATTTGGTAAAATAAGCATAATCAAGGTCTTTTCCATTCATATAAGCCACTTCTGATACCAAACGATTAGCTGGAAGTCAAGTTATTATTTGTTCCCTGCTGAAAAATCCAGCTTAAACCAGCCTAGGCTGGTTGGCTGGTTGGCTGGTTTTAGGGTTTTTTCGGTAGGGTTGTTCCTAAAACTTGGATAAGTGACAAGACTTTGGTCAGGTAGTGTATAAAAATATCAGATTTCAGAGTGTAAACACATTTACTCTGATTCATACTACCATGACATGTTTTGATTAGTTGAATTGTTTCGAATAAGTCCCATAGGATGTTGTGAAAACGATATCTCAGCATCATCAAAGTAATTTTTTGTTGTGAATGCTCGCCCTCTAGTGGCGAAAATTGAACAGTGCCTTAAATCTCCCTGCGCTTTCACCTGAGTCCTTGTCTTTCCTGTTCAGTGAGCTTGACCTGTTTATTGAGCATCTCTCTGTGCACACGGATCTCCTCCTCTCTCTCTTTCATGGCTGTTTGCAGCTGCAGACGCCTCTTCTCCAGGGTCAGCACTCCATCTGCTCGGTCATACAGCAGATTCCTCAACCGCTGCACTTCCATCTTCAGGAGACCCTTCTCCACCATACTGTCCTGCATGTGTTTTCAAATGCATTTTACTGTTCTCTCTTGTCATTAACATCCACAATACATCTATAAATTATTAGTTGGTATTAAAATTATCTTTTAAGAAATCTGATGTCCTCTAAAACCAGCTTGGTCGACCAGCAAAAACCAGCCAACCAGCCTAGGCTGGTTTAAGCTGGTTTTTTCGGTAGGGGTAACCGAAGACATTAAGAGATTATTTGAATATTTAAAAAACAAGCAATTTGTACACGGTAAAACCCCAAAAGTTAAGGTAACTCAAACCATTTGAGGAAAACAATTGCCACAAACCATTAAAATTCCAAAACTAATCTATATGAGTACTGTGAACTTACTCCCTTTAAGTTAAAGGTGCATATCTGCCAAAATGCTAATAAGTTAGCATATTAGCTTTGGACGGCAGGAGAATGACTGTAGCAACACGATAACAGACAACCCACTAGTTCCCCACATAGCAAAATATCTCTGGCCCAGCTCTGGCCCACACAACCAGCTGTTGCTTGGCCCACATGCGACAGTGAATTATGGTACATGACTGGACCAAGTCTGGCTTCCAAACAAGGTCCAAACATGGACCATATCTAGGCCAAGTCTCAGCCAATTTAATAACCCATAACTGTGGCTGAACTGGGCCAGATATGTTGGTGTGTCATAACTGCAATGAAATTGATAAACCCATAAAGCTTTGCCTTTTAGGTGCGCTATGGGTGTGCTTTTTCTCGAATCGACCTGATTGGTAGATTTTTTTTTCCTTTATTCAAAAATAATAAAATGTATTTTAAATGTGGGTCAAAATAGGCCAAACTTACATGGCCCACATATCCATTGTTAGCATCAGGGCCAAATACTACATTTGATATCTGGCCCAAGTATTGTGTGCCGCCTTTTAGACAGTGCCACCTCTGCCAAATCCAGGTCATGCTTGGCCCACATGCTGTATGCCAGTGCCGGATAAATGCCTGCTGTGCCAGATTTAAGTCAAATTTGAGCTAGTCTTTCGCCAGTCAGAAGTTTAGTGGTTGGTCTGCGGCGTGTAGGAATTTCACTTATTACTAAGCCACACTTACATGCTATTTCAGAGCGAATATTCAGAGTAGCATGGTAAACAATATTGGGAGTGCGTCACAGGCTGTGATTGTTCGGAAAATGACCCAATGTGAATATAAAAGCAACTAAATCTACATTATCGATGCTGTAAAAGGACCTAATGAAACTAAAAATAGTCACATCAATCTTTCAGCGGGATATTTCAGGGGCTGAACAACACGTCTGTGCATATATAACCCATTTGTAACAACAACATCTGCATCAACTCTGCGTGAAGCTACAATAGTTTTAAAACAGAACATTACCTGTCATACAGAAATACTTCAGCCATGGTGTCGTCCTTCCTCCAGTATTTATTCAGGAGTTTAAAAAGTTTCAATTCAGCATTTGATTTTGCCGCGACTGTGACTGTCTCGTGTCCACGTGTCGTGAACATGCGGCGCTCATGCAGGCCTTCACACGTGTTACGGTTGCTGTATATTGGTGGGATTTTTGCCTCCCGTTCTCTCTCTCTTTTTCTCTCTCTCTTTCTCTCTCCCCATCTCTACCTGTCGTATCCTCTAGGTCCGCCTTCACGGAAACCAATTGGTCAGGAGACCAGTCACTCATCATTGGGTGACTTGGCGCTGTCACATATAAAGACGCCAGGGAGAGCGGATGACAGCGCGCTTTTCCTTTGATCCCGTTTTTGTGTGTTTTTGCCGACATGATTTTGTTATTTGTTAATTTTGATTAACTTTTGTTTGGATAAAATTATTTTGTATTATTTCTGCCCATTTTGAACTACTTTGTGATTTTTGTACATCTTATTTTCGATTGTTTGTTTGTTACTTTTGGTACAACTCTTACCTGGCAAACAAAAAGAGATTATTGAGAGTTGACTTTGTCCTCAGAGTAAGGAGGACAGGGAAGATGTCGTACGACTTCCATCTTACATACACGTAGTCAATCCATTGTTTAAAACACCAGGTAAGAAGTGAATGCCACTTATGTATTTGTTTTGTTTTAGTTCAGAATAGGTAAGATTACGGCGCTCGGCGCTGCAGATTTTTCATTTCTTTTTCTTTTCATGTTTCTAGCGAGGTAAGGGGTTTGCTTATGAGTTACAATTGTTTTGTTATATTTATTTCTTTGATATGGCTTCACTAGCGTCCCCTTACTCTTGAGTTGACCTAATTTTGTTTGATACTTTGTTTAATTTGTTACTTTATTATTGTAAATATTTTTGTTATTGTATATATATTTGGGCATTATTCTGATTTCACGTTTTGTACATTAAATCACTTTTGTTGGCAGTTTTGTTGTTTGTGTATTTTACTTTCACCCATCATCTTGTAAAAGTACCACACCTTTTAAATGTTATTACTTTTACCCTAGACTAACATCAAAGAGGTTATAACACACGCTAATGATGGATTCTCATTTGCTGACAGACAGTTTGAGCTACTTATCGGAGTTATGAGAGATGTCGGCCTGACATTATTTAATTGGATAAACATTTGTTTTGTTTTATGCCTTACCTAGAATATAAAAATACACAAATACATTAAGATTGTTTACTGTAATCATTACTATTGGACTGTGAAGAGACTTCCGACTAGCACAACAAAACATGTTTCCGAAGACAATCACCTACTGCACCTTTAAAGTAATGAGGTATTTAATTTAACTCATTACCTTCAACACTTGAGTTAAAAAAAAATTCAAATGAGTTGAATTAACTTTCAGGTAATTTTGAGTTGACTACACTCATTTCATTTTATAAAGTTGACAGTTGGGTTTTACAGTGTAGAAGTCAAGTCATTCACCTGTTTTTTAAGCCTGCTTTTTTTCCTCTCTTTTTCAGAGGTCTCAATGAAGAGTTCCACCTCCTGGATCTTAGTGCTCAAGTTTGTCTTCTCTGCTCCGATCTTCTCGGTGTCTTTCTTAATGCAGCGAATATCATCCTGTGAACAAATGAATCATTAAAACACCCCATACAAAAACAGGAGAATGCTTTAGACCAAAATAAGGACGAGGCATTGTGTGTTTAGTTGGAAGACATAAACTAAATTAGCATTGAGTGTCACAATATTTTATATATATGAAAAATCTTGTTAGGCATATCTGAACAAGAATCAATTGATGACAGATCAAAAAAAGTTAATTGAGAATCGCAATTATAATTTAGCCTATATTTTATCCACAACACAACTTGGGAGCAAACTTTCATCTTATTTTATTCACTAACTTCTTCTAATAATAATAATTAATAATTCCTTTGATATAGCGCTTTTCTAGACACTCAAAGCACATTACACATTGGGGGGAATCTCCTCATCCACCACCAGTGTGCATCATACGCCTGGATGATGCAACGCCAGCCATATTGTGCCAGAATGCACACCAGCAGATAGGTGGAGAGGAGACAGAGTGATGAAGCCAATTATGATATGGGCAGGGCTTCATTTGTGCTGGAACACCTCTGAAATCTGATCCGGCACCTCATTTTACAGATCCCCGCTCTTCACTTTCTTCAGCGACTCCCCAACCCTCTTCGTCTTCGATCCCCGTACAAACTCTTGTCTTTGGTATGCAAACACATCTCCATTAACTTCCACCCCCCACCCCGCTCTTCACTTTTGTCCGTGACAGGGCAGGATGCCGGGGTTAAACCCTTACTCTTTTCCCATCCTGGGAATTTAATAACCACAGAGAGTCAGAACCTTGGTTTAACGTCTCATCCGAAAGATTTAACTAGCTAAAATAAATCTCACATCAGTTAAAATATATTTATTTCTTAATATATTTATTTATCATATTTATGAATTACTCAATTTGTTCTAAAACTTTTTGACAACTGAAGTATTAGTTTGTATATGTGTATTTCAGAGTACATCATGCTTTTTGTGTGTGTGTGGTGTGTGAGCGTCAGGCATTGACACAAGCTGTGGAGCAGAGCAGAGCTCATTAATATTCACAACCCTTCCAAATATGGTCAAAACCAAGCTTTTCAGTTTAGGGGTAATTCCTGTGCTTATAAATAAGCATATAAAGCTGTTTCTGGATAATTTTTGCATTTACCTACCTACTATGTAGATTTCAGAGAACAATTTAACATTTTGAAGAAGTGCACTCTCTAATAAGGGCTCATATGACTTAGTGTGATCACTTAGATATTTTAGCAAGTACAAACTACATCAAATGATTCACAGTGCAGCTGTGAGAAATCAATGTCCCAACCCTAACCCACAGTCTCACCTGCAGTTTCTTCAGCTGTTTGTTGAGGTTGGCAGCGGTCTTCTTCTTCTCCTCTAGAGATGCAGCCAGATCTGCGACCTTCTTCTCCAGCGCTTTCTTCTCCTCTGTGTTCACCTTCCCTTGCAAGTGTAAAGTCTTCCTCTCCAGCATCTGAATCTGAAAGTCCTGGACCGAACAAAAGACCAACACTTGGGTCAACTGTCTTTCAGTAAACACAAAGTTTCAGTAAGTCAAATTTAAGACTTTTTTAACACCATTATGAATGAAATTTCACAAAGTTTTACTTGCCCTTTACAAAAATATCAAATGTTGTTATTTGTTACCCACATATTCGTAGTCGTTTATACACTCACCGGCCACTTTATTAGGTATACCTTATTAGCACCGCATTGATCCCCTTTTGCGTTTAGGACTGCCTTAATCCTTCGTGGCATAGATTCAGCAAGGTACTGGAAATATTCCTCAGAGATTTTGCTCAATATTGACATGATAGCATCACGCAGTTTTAAGCTAATGTTATAGTAAATAAGAGACTTGATGTTTTTTATTAATTAATTGATTTATTATTTTTATATATACATTTTTTATTATTAATAATAATTAATTTGTTTATATGCCGATGCAGTGGCGCAGTAGGTAGTGCTGTCGCCTCACAGCAAGAAGGTCGCTGGGTCGCTGGTTCGATCCTCGGCTTAGTTGGCATTTCTATATGGAGTTTGCATGTTCTCCCTGCGTTCGCGTGGGTTTCCTCCGGGTGCTCCGGTTCGGTTTCCCCCACAGTCCAAAGACATGCGGTACAGGTGAATTGGGTAGGCTAAAATGTCCATAGTGTATAAGTGTGTGTGAATGTGTGTGTGGATCTCCCCCAGAGATGGGTTGCGGCTGGAAGGGCATCCACTGTGTAAAAACTTGCTGGATAAGTTGGCGGTTCATTCCACTGTGGCGACCCTGGATTAATAAAGGGACTAAGCCAACAAGAAAATTAATGAATAAATAATTTGTTTATTTTTTTTAATATTATTTGTTTATTGTTTTATTTTTTTCCATCTGTATGCAGGTAATCTCTGATGTTATGTACTTATGTGTCTAATGTGGTATTAAATTAGTATTTATGTATATATAAATTTACTTCTCTTGTTTTGTTAATTGAGTTAATGAACAAGGGGTTAGGGGATGGGATTAACGAGGGGCTATATATTGCTGTTTACCTCTCTCTTAATGTTTAATTTCATTTTGTCAAACAAAAGACCAATAAAAAGATTGGAAATTAATAAGAAACTTAAACCATATTGGTAAACTGAGTTACCTTTTGATTTTTGAGATGTATTGTTTGATTAATTGTGATTGGAATAGTGTTGGTCTGATTTGGAAAGTTTACATGGACATTGGAAAAATAAGAAAATGATGTAAAACCTCTAACACAATATTCAGTGAACTAAAGCATTAAATTTTAAGGCCTAAATTTAGTTTTTAAAACTTAAGACATGTAAAGACTTTTTAAGACCAAACGGATGCCCTGAAACAACAATCCAGCTTTGGTGTTGAATATTTCAATGACTATTTGTTGACATAGAATAGCTGCAATGCCTGGTTGGAGATGATCATCTGCTGCTGGAGGAAGTTCTGGTCCAGCTTGCGGAGTTTACTGTCTAGGTTGGACAGAGCGGTCCGGGTGGCACAGATCTCAGCCGTGACGTTCTTCTCTTTATCACGCAATGCCTGCACCTCCTGACTCTTCTTGAACAAGAGCTCTTTCTGACGAAGCAGCTGAGAATCAATCTCCTGCACACATGGAGTAAGAAAAAAAGTTGAATACACTATATCGAAATATTAAAATGTTGACTTAAAATTCAAGTAAATACGTTACATTTAAAGTGTTAAACATTGCAAGCTTCTGCAGTTAACCATTTTTAACATTCTAGCTTTACGTCATGAAGGATGCATTTCTGCTTTATTGGATAACTTGGGAACACATAATAACTATTTCATCAACAAAAATTCTTTAAAAAATAGTAGCTTTTGTACAGTCCGATTTACTTATTATGAATAATAATAATAATAATAATATTAATAATAATAATAAGATAAGATTTGGTCGATACTGCATTTTTAAAGGGATAATTCACTCAAAAATGGAAATTTACTCACTATTTACTTGTCCACAAGTGTTTCAGAAGCTTCATAAGTTTTGAACAGTAAAGAGCTGAAAGCTGAAAACCAGTAACCATTGACTTCCATAGTAGGAAAAATAAATACTATAGAAGTCAATGGTTACAGGTTTCCATCATTTTTATAAATATCTTATAAAGTCAAAATGATTTGGAACAAGAGAAAGGGTGAATAAATTATGACAGAATTTTCAGTTTTTGGGGAAATCGTCCCTTTAATTCTGCATGCTCATCTAAAGTTAAAGTTAATATTTTTTACATTATAATTGACTTTTACTCCTACTGTTGAACATAATCTCTAGCAAGTGTCTAAATTACACTTTTCATATTATTGTTTCTTACATTTCTACTATTTCCAGTGTTCTGAGAACAGTTTGTTTGTTCTGTTGAACACAAAAGAAGATATTTTGAAGAATGTTGGAAATCTGTGACCATTGACATCCATAACAGGAAAAACAAATACTATGGATGTTAATGGTTACAGGATTACAAGATTCTTAAAAAAATATCTCTTTTGTGTTCAACACAACAACAAAAAAACTCAAACAAGTTTGAAACAAGTAAATAGTGAGAAAATGATGGCAGAATTTAAATTTTGGGGTGAACTATCCCTTTAAAAAATAGTAGTTTTTGTACAATCCCATTTATTTATTATGAATAATAATAATAAGATAGGATTTAGTCGATCCTGCATTTTTAAAGGGATAATTCACTCAAAAATGGAAATTTACTCACTATTTATTTACCCTCAAGTGTTTCCAAAGCTTCATGAGTTTCGAACAGTAAAGAGCTGAAAGCTGAAACCCAGTAACCATTGACTTCCAAAGTAGAAAAAAATAAATACTATCAATTTTGGGATGAACTATCCCTTTAATATCATTGTAAATTAAAGCTATTAAAAGTTTTTTTTTTTTTTACTAACTGAAACAAATACAAATACATGTAAAAATTAGTCTGGAAGGGCATCTGTTCCATTGAAAAAAGTCAGAGTTATTGGTGGTTCATTGCCCTGATTAATCAGGGACTAAGCCGAAAGATAGTGAGCAAGTAAGTGAAAATTCGAATAGCTATTTTGGCAACTAACTACAATTAATTAATTAATTAATTAAACAAGCAAATATAAATATTAGGGATGCTCCGATTGATCGACTGAAGATTGATATCAACCGATAATCACATTTTCCGACTTGATCGATAAGGGCTTACCTGGTCGATCACATGAACCGATCGTAAGTGTTAGTTTACGGGTTTACAAGCAGAGGAAGATGCATTTTAACTTCTTTTGCATCAAATATACACTCCAAACTTTTTCTTCGTTGAGGCATGTTGCATTATTCTTCCATCATTTGCGATGTTTCCAAATAGCATTAAGTCAGTTTTCTTACCAAATTTTGTATCAGTTTAATCTATTATTTTCTGTAAAGCTGTTTCGGACCATGACTTGTCCGCACTAAATGGTAATAATAGATGTGTTTAAGGAATTATATGCAACATCATTTATTATTTTAGGAAAGGAGAACGTTTGAGCTGTGAAGTGAAATGAGTAGAAGCCAAACTGACTTTGATGTTCTGCTCTTGTTCTCTGAGCAGCTGCTCCATCTGTGCTGCTTGCTCTTCACCATTCAGCACCGCCTCCGTCACCATCCGCAGCTTCTCCTCCAGAGCAGCATTATGCAGCTGTGCCTCTTCAACTCTACAAGAAAACAACTGGATATTTTACAAAATTTTACATATGTGCATATTTGTGTTTCGTAATGCGTGTAGTGTAGTTTACAATGATTGTATATATACAAGTATAGGGGAAAAATTTAGAAAAATCATGACAAAAAGAGACTGCTTGACTGTGAGCTGTGAGACTGAGTAAAGTTCTGAAAAACAGAGGAAGAATTACTTTGTTGTTTTGTCCTGAATGTCTTTTTTCATGCTGGATAACTGAGATCTGCTGGTCTCCACATCTGTGGCAGTTCGGTCTACAGTTCCCTTCAGAACCTCCACCTGAGAGCAAAATAACACATTTGATTTGTTTTGTCAAGTATTCAAGCCATGTTTTTCTTTAACCCTTTCATGCATGGTGTCTACATTTGTGGACAGTTATAAAAACTGAATTTGAGGTTCATTAATCATGGTAATTGTCTCCAAACCACTTGAGGGCAGTGTCAGTAGACTGTCAGCAGTATTGTCACAGTGGCTACTCTCTTGCATTCCAGTTATTCTTTGCTTGGGTAAAGTCTAGATTGGATATGCGGCCGTATGCACATTAATATAGCAGCATTTTTTTTTATGACACTGTATAACAAAAATTTATATTTTTACAGATCTGTGACGGTTGGGTTTAGGGTTGGGGTGGGAGTAGGGGTTAAAAAATATTATTTATTGGGTAATTTAATAGATAACATAAATAATACTCGGTACAACTACTGTTTTAACGTTACTGTGACGATTGGGTTTAGGATTGGGGTGGGGGTAGACGTTGATAAAAAAAAACAATAAATTTGAAATATCATGAATAATGGAAACAATGCTCATTAACTTCCGGCCGCAAACGTATCCGATCTAGCGACAACCCTTTGCTTGATGACATCAATCATCCAAGATGCCCGACACGGATGGCCGTGTGCTAAATGCCTCAGCATATCTGTGAAAAACATTTATTCAAGGAGGTCAATTGAAGTAAAAAAAATATCAGTATGTACAGTACATTTAGGTATGATGAATATATTAGTAATTTATAAAATAAAATGTAGTTCTTATTCACCAAAAACCAACTGTCCACGTATGTGAACATCATGCAACAGAGGAGTCAGCTTGCATTAGTCCAATTTTTCTGTAACTTGCTACTATATCTATTCAGTTTTTTCAAAGATGCTGTAAATTGTCTTATATTGTAATAAAACAGATATTTACAAATATATCAACATAAATAGACATTTAAAATTACATGTTACATATGCCCTTTGTCCTGACTGCTTTGAGGGCTTTCACACGAAATGAGAATAATTGCTTGCATGCTCTAAAGAAACTATTTTCAACTAAAAAGACTGAAATAATAAGTTGTTACAATCAGCAGTGAATGTTTTCCACGATTTAACCATACTGTAAATGTTTCTGCACATATATATATATATAGGGCGAGGCAGTGGCGTAGTAGGTAGTGCTGTCGCCTCACAGCAAGAAGGTCGCTGAGTCGAACCTTGGCTCAGTTGGCGTTTCTGTGTCGAGTTTGCATGTTCTCCCTGCGTTCGCGTGGGTTTCCTCCGGGTGCTCCGGTTTCCCCCACAGTCCAAAGACATGCGGTACAGGTGAATTGGGTAGGCTAAATTGTCCGTACTGTATGAGTGTGTGTGTGGATGTTTCCCAGAGATGGGTTGCGGCTGGAAGGGCATCCGCTGCGTAAAAACTTGCTGGATAAGTTGGCGGTTCATTCCACTGTGGCGACCCCGGATTAATAAAGGGACTAAACCGACAAGAAAATGAATGAATGAATATATAACTACTGGTATTATTATTCCAACATTATGTGTTTTATTGTTATTATATTGTGCTATTATTGTTTTTAATAAATGAAATAAATAAATGTTTTTCATTTTTGCTACATGGTGTCCTGGTATGTGGACAGTTAATTTATTTTTTAATGAAATAAAATTTGGTAAAAATGAAAATGGTTTTTAATTTTAGTGTCATGTTAAAGCTACAAAAATGACAATAAACTAATAATGTTTTTTATAATTCAAGCATGAAAGGGTTAATGCTTAATTGATGCATTATTTTGGACCCTTAAAATAGTGTTACCTTTAGAATTGTATGCTCTTAAAGTTGTGGATTTACTTTCCCTTGCATCGAAAATGGTATTGAAAAATGGTATTTTTAGTAGGAGGTGTGCTTCCCTCCCTCCAGGACATTTACACTAGGCGGTGCATAAGGAGAGCCAAGAGAATCATCAGCGACTCCAGCCACCCAAGCCATAGACTTTTCTCTCTGCTACCCTCAGGCAGACGGTTCTGCAGCATCCAGTCACGCACCAGCCGGCTGAGGGAAAATTTCTTCCCTCAGGCCCCGTTTACACTAGTGCCTTTTAGTTTTAAAACGGCGCTTTAGATCAAAAACGATCCGAGTCCACATCAGCGTTTCACCTAGTGTCTCTGAACATATCTCCGTCCAATCTACGCCACCAAAAACGTATATCACGTGACCATTCGCGCACTCTGGGCATGCGCGTTCTAGTATAAACAGAAAGCATGTGTCTCGCTCGGCATTTGGTTATTATTAGTCAACAAACACCGGTTGAACATTAAACGCGATGGCAAAGAAAGCAAGAGAGGTATTTTTGTGGACAGACGACGAGGTCGAGTTGTTACTAAACATAACAAATGAATAACTGCACAATGGCGCCTAAAACAGACAAAAGTGCAAACAACGCTCCCATTTTTGTGCCCATGTTGTTGTTTACAGTACTGTCCTCCGGTAGCTTTAAAGCCATGTGTTATAGTCATGTGATAGGGGCTTGACGTATAAGGGAAGGATACGCAATTACACAAAAGCCCCAATTAGGTAGCGCATCTCAGCAGTCCCGCCTCCGTTTTCAGATGTCTCCGTTTTTCC